AGTAGCAGTCGTGTCGCCTTACCAGATGGCAACAGTAGTCAGTGGACTTAATACCTTGACGCCTAGTGGAGTCTGGAGGCTACAAGGCGATAGCTGTTTGAAGTAAACCTGGCGCACAGCAGCACGTTGGTGCGATAGTACTAAGCTTGCCGCATGTCCCATAACGGGTAGATGACAAATAAGTGTTGTTGGTGTTTGCATTGCGCTTACCGATCAAGTGTACCAAACCGACCAGTGTCACCTAGTCCGCATGTAACTAATAGGTTGATTAGTTTGAGGCATGCACTGTTGCAGATTTTTACTTAACCATGAGAGTTCATAGCGCGCTATATTTGCTTGTGCAAGGCCACACTGGAAGAATCGCGTGGTGGTCAACCTACCACATGGTGACGAAACACTAAGGCGTTCACTTCTAGTCTAGCTGTTGCCACCCCCGTACGTCTTCCGGGCTGGGGAATCAGAGATGGAAAAGATCTTTGGTTGAACACTCTTGAGGATCTGGCGAGTAATTGCAAACAGTGGAAGATTTGCATCAGTCTATGCATTGATTCGACTGATCGAAACTGTGGTCACTAAACCGACAAATAAGACAAAACGGCGTGTGGAAGCACTAAACATATTCTTTATCTATCTTATGTTTGATGATCTTCGTACTTCTTATACATATCCATTCCATGGTTTTCAATGACACGGGGCTTTTAAGGTAGCCGTTGCTGCTCGCTCCCAAAACATCGTTTTTGCTCTATCTACTGCATACGTATCAATTTTATTTGAATCTTTTGAAGAATATCTTGGCTGGACAATTTCAAGGTCAATGAGGTCGCTCAACTCCACCGATTCTTTGAAAGTATCCGAGACACCGCGAAAACGCGCGGTTTGCTGCTTTTATCCAGTAGAAAAGAGCTATCAATAAACGTTTTAACAAACGTTAGCCCCGTCAATTGGAATAAGAATGGTGTAATTTGTTCAAGCAATGTGCGACCGTTGTTCAAAGATTCGGGACTGTTTACTTAAATGACATATGTGCACTCTTTACCCATTCTGTTTTCAAACTTGTAAAATTCTCATCTTTACTGAGGATGTTTATATCGCATTTGTGGTAGATAGTGTAAAATGTTGAAAAATCCATCTATCTGGGTGCATAAAGCTTTCCTTGACTTGACTTGTCTATTTTATAGACAGTTGCATAGATATATAATGTTTATCACGGAGCTCCAAAATACTTGTTAATCAGAATGGTAGAGTAAATAAGGACCAAAGAGAGGCAACAACGAATTAGGCAAATGGGAGCTTTCATAAACGGTACTCATGCTTCATCGTTCACTGATACCCTTCGTTAATCACTCGCAATCCGTCTAACCCAATGCTGCTCTGCACGGAACCTGCCACTCAGTCTGGAATATCGGTTGCCAGTAGCTTATACTATAGGTCACTTAGGAGTACGACGAATTGGCTAATTGGAAACCACATTGTCTGCCTTAGTAGACAGGATTCTCGAACCCGGAAGGCGTGAGTACTTTTTAGGTGCTCAAATCAAGTACCCGCTTCCATTGGAGGGTCATTTTGAAGTACACGTTGTGCGGATGGACTGCGACGGACGAACTCAAAGTGGACCGCGATTCCCATTGAAGTGAACCTTTGTCAATTCGATCACTAGGACCGTAGGTGAAGCAGATAGAAATTGGGTGTTGCCTTCCGAGAACACTGCACTCAATGACGCGTTTCGAGGTTATTTCCTCTCATCAATTAGAGATTGTAGGCATCGAATCCGGGACCAGCGGAATGTTAGTTGCGACCGCTACCCCTAAGCCGCCGGGCAACGCTTTGCTTAACGGTTAATAACTGATTGGTGGGTCACTTTGAAGTACACCTTGTGTGGATGGATTGCGACGCGCATTTTCAAAGTGGACCGTGATTCCCAATGAAGAGGTAGCGGTCACATAAAACCTCCCAATGGTCCCGGCTTCGATGTCTATCACTTTCTTATGAGGTGAAATAATATCAAAACACGTCATGGAGTGCAGTGTTTTCGGGCGGGCAACACCCAATTTCTTTCGGCTTTACCTGCTTCCATGTTAGTTAGTCCAACTGAACCACAATGCACAATCATAGAGTGAGCTTTATGAAAGTTGTCCACGAACCTGCATCTCGTCACGGCGGCAGATATGTTGGACACACTCGAACTAAGGCAGAAATAAGCTCGTCACTACGGTGCAGCCAGTAGATATTAACAGACATCAATTGTTTCTCATGATAGACAGGTAGTGCGCGGGCGAGATGTAGCTAAAAGAAAGGGAGAGGTAGCCAAGCAATGGCTGGGTTAAGGGGAACTGAAAACTTCCCTTCAAAGCTGATGTCCGTTAGTGTCTCCCGACTGCATTGCTGGGGTCCGGAGGATCGTGAACACGTCTGATTGGATACACTTGTTGACATGGAGAAAAGTCAACCTAAATAACGTTCCTTTTGCGAGTTTCCTTGTCCCACCTCTACCCTTTATCTTCTTCTTCCAACAACGATGTAAACCCCATGCATACTGTGTTATTTAGCATCGTATCACCTTTCTGCTTTTGTATTCTATAGCAGTTGAAATCTGTTATATTTCGACCATTAGCTGAGGTATGTTTCTCACCCTCAGCTATTGTTTCTTGAGAATGTTCGTGAGTATATACGTTGAATTGCCTAAGATTTAATGAAAATACCTTGGATGTTCTATCGGATGGTGCATTACATTCTTATACAGCAACTCATCATCATCATCATCATCATCATCAACAACAACAACAATAGCCACTGCCACCACAACAACGGGAGTGTGGACAATTGGGATGTTTGAGATTTTGTTTCGCCTACGGATGCTCCACGGACCGGGGACACGTGTACACCAAATTGTAGCTCAACTTCACCACGGTAGGCACGATCGTTCACTACCCGATTAATGGTCATTAGCCTAATACCATTAAACAGCGCACCTTATCTGGCTATTGTTCGTTGTTGACAATGTGCTCCTTTAGATTTGGAAAAAGCCGAGAATGAATGCCTCACGTGCTTAAGTTGGCTACGGTTTGCAGGATGAGTACAAAAACGAGGCGCATGATGTACCGAAGAATGGCACAGGTCACGTGTTTTGTTTATTTGTGTGTGCACCGTGGCACCGAGTACAAATGAGTGCCCGCGTAACCATGGCAACTGACGTTAGGGAACTGGTTGTACTATCGACAGTGATGGGTTGTAGAGCGCTGAGCCATATGTCAGCCAATGAAAGCGGCACGGAAATCGTCTCGACCATACTATCCTATCTTCACAGTGGTCAGGTTCTGGTAACCGCAATTCTGCTGCAGTTGACTTGATTTTGAACGTCTGTCTGGTACCCCGAGGCCACGCACTATATGCGCTTCGTTGTACCGCTGCAGTGGGCGGGGCCTTTAAATCGGCCGTTGCCTTTCATTGCACATTATTTTTACTTTATTTGCTGCGGATATACTAAGCTTTTAGGAATAATTTGACAGTTTTTTTATCCAAATACTTCCAAGGTCAACAAGACCGATATTTTGACTACTAAGCCTAAATATCGCGCACTATTCGCGGTCTGTTGGTTTTGGCCACGAAGTTCGGTCAGTTGAAAACGATTAAGAAGAACTGACCTCACGAAACTGTACTTTGTCGGCTGGAAAAACACGAGGATTCTGTTTATCCATATGCACTTGGTGCTCAGGAACGCGGCCATTTTACCCGAGTGACACCAATGCAACATTTTCCCTTTTCTTTATCCATTTATAAAATTGAATTTGTCAAGATGTCATTTTAGTTAATCCGCAGTTGATACTAAATTGTTGAAAATGCGTCCATCTGGGTACATAAAGCTTATCTTGACTTGACTTGACAATCTAAATGTGTTGCCAGGCAGCTAGCGGGTACAAACTTGGAAGTCACATATTATAGTGTGTTTCCCAGTAGCGGAATCTAGGAGCACTGGATCAAGGTGACATCGACTGTCCGAAACAACAAGAGAAGACACCGAAAACCGACAGTTAATATGTCAGTTTCTTACACTCTTCTTTCTACAGTTGCTCAAGGACTACGTGGGACCCAACATGGAATACGTCATCTGGGCGTAGCAGCCCAGATAGAGAGGCATGAGCACATTGTGCTTTGGACTCCACAAGTAGCGGCATCTAGAAACATTAAGGATCTTCACATGTGATTTAACGACTAGACTTCAAACCTCTAGGAATGTATAGCGGTCGATATTAGCGCAAGCCTGGGGACCTCATAATTTCTCACCAAATCTTGCAGTAAACTAACCCCACCTATTGCCCCCTCCTGGAACTCAGTCATAGCATCAACTTGCCATGACATCATCTAAAGTGGGCGACGCAGCACAGCTGATTACGTGTGATCGGAGATTCATCTTCTTTAGTGTGCGTGCCTGTAATGGAACCCTCTCTCAACAGGACTTGTCTTTGTACCCACAGTAATGCTAGTTAAAAACGACCTGACAATGTATTTATTACACCGTTCGTATTTATTCATCTAACCTACATTTACTAGGGGGCAACGTAACTCCGACAAACGGTGTGTTCCCAAATTCGAACCAGCCGGATCCATGATTGTTATCAGTCTTTTATTTTGTCCAGTCCACTAGAGCGTACACAAATTTATTGACACAGTTTTCGTTGGTTATGTTATTTTCATCCTGATCATCCTGTGTGACTTTTAAGTGTTAGCTCCTATTTCCTCAATAAGCTATTGTTTTATTGTTCCAATATTTAGATGAGTTCATTAGCACAGGACACTGAGACTGAGGCTACTTTCAGTCATAATTAGAATCATCACCTAAAGTTGTCGTTGTCACCCGCATGAGCGCCAATTCATTAGACGAATAGGTCAAGCACCCAGATAGGCTATCAGGCCTAGCACAGAGGAGAGTAAAAATCCCCACAAATTTAGGGACGAAAAGGACATAAAAAAGCTGCAGAGGCCATCACATAAGTTCGACTTACCGATGTGTCGTGTAGGAGCTGATCGGTCCCTGAGCGTCGATACCCTTGTGTGGTGGCTTACAGGACTCCACTGGTTTTATGGGATAGGCAATGTATTTGTTGGTGTATTCAGAAATGGCGCAAGGTCCAATTGATTTTGGAACTCGTACTGCATGGGGACATCGATGTCGGCTGATTGGAAAGTACATTAAACAAACACATAAAAGAAAAGTAGAATTAGCTGTGACAATGACCAAAATGTTCAGAAATCTAACTACTTCTGTTGGATACAATTTGAGATTTAACCAATTCCAGCAAATATGTCGAGAAACGGTATCAAGGTAGCAATCAAAGTCACCCAGAGACTGTGTCGACCTTAACCGTTAGCATGCCAATGCGCCTAGTAAAACAATGACACACGCGAGGAGGATATTTTCCAACTTTCACAAACCAATAGCTCAGTAACTCCTAACATCCCCAGCGTCTTTTTGGTCAGAGCAAATAACTGCCTGATTGTTAAGTTTTGGAGTAACCGCCGTGTGTCTTGGATTGTGAAACGCAATCACAATTGTGGCTTCTGTTAACTTTGAAGTTAGCCTGTGCCACTCCGATCAATGGGATCGTATCGGAAGTGAAGGGTATCGGCGTTGGTCTTGCCCATGCCTCCACTCCCTGACAGACGATTTCGTGCTGGTTTGGACTCATCAGCTAGGTAGTCTGAATTGGGAGTGGAACTCGAGACACAGTGGTTGGCGGCTATCACCATGATCACTAGACCACTGAGCCTCGTGGGCAAAGCTTGACACAGCGGTCAGCAGTCTAGTGATCATGCGCATAGCCGCCAAGCACTATGTGCCGAGTTCCATTCCCAATTCATGCTATCTCTACCTGATGAGTCCAAATTAGGACGAAACCGTCTATCATGGAGTGCAGAGATAGGAGAGAGCAACATCGAAACCCTCCACGTTGTTGCCTGATTCGAATCGTTACAGAACACCTAGGGCAGATGACATCAATGGTCTGTACCGCTATCTTGTACTTGGATTGTTTGTTTAGTTGCGCTTGGTTCTGAGTTACCAGTCAGGTAAGACTGCTTATGAACTAGGACAGTGCATGAAGAGAACAACCATTACACTGACGTCCTCTTAGTTTGATACTCTACCCAGTAAGTTGTTGGTGACCTTGGTGATTGCGGTAAGATGTGGGCAACGTAGACCAAAAGGGTTACTTCACAAATTTGGTTCCGTCGTGCTCTTATCGTTTCTTCTACTACTTTAGACTCGTTACGTTATAAATGCTTCTTTTTGCCTTCTGCTCTCTGCCACTGACAACTGTTGTACAGCTGCTAGCTGCCCCTTGAGACTGCGAGTGTCTGACTGCTCAGTCACGCGCCAAGACAACAGACGGAATACAAAAGGCCAGAACTAGGTAGACAGAGAGACGTATTGTATGAGAGCCTGGCGCAATAAATAGGTTGTGGGCAACTACTAACACAACAATGTTGGAGATGCTAATTGGTGTTAATTAACACAACTCAAACGTCTCAAGTTCATGATCCACCTTGCTGCTGATTCCACATCAAATCACATTTTGATCTGTACTCGAGTTCGATCTCTAATTGTAGGTCGATCCACTTTCTCGCCAATGCTCTCGGCTTGATCGCTGACTGTAAGCTTTCTCTCCGTAGCAAGTTAATGAGAACGCACACACCACATTAAGATTGTAGGGATGATACACCTGTATTGTCTACTACAATACCGTTGACGATAACGCTTCACCTGCCGTGCTTGATTTCAAACGCCAAAACGAGCAAATTTCGACAGAACCAGCAGTAGGGATTTGTCAAATGTGGCTGGAGCTGTGAGCACCCTGTGTTCTACTGTTGTATGATGACCTCAACTAATGAAATTTGTAAGGGGGAGGCTGAGTAAAGTGTGATCACAAATCTCATCGTCACCTCGTAGCCATTTCAGCGACATCAGAACAGCTGGAAGAGACTTCAGGTATGTCCGTACTCAGTTTACAACGGACAAGTGCCTGTAACTCTGTACAAGTGCTTCCCACAAAGGACGCATTTAATGTCAGTATGCCAGTAAGGATTGTCGGTAATTCACTGCCTAAGTTTATTTACAGTCCAGTGATTACTAGTAGAAGATCGCAGCGGGCAAGACAGGAAGAGCCATTGGGCAACACATACCCCAAACTTTGGCAGGTGACTGCATTACGATCGCCATAGTTTGACATTTGGTCTTAGTAAATGTGGCACCTTCGATATATTATTTGGAAGAAGGCTTCACCAATGTTCTATTCACGTGACTCGACTAATTCGATCAGGTGTATCGAAGCGAAACCCCAGCAGGTTTACGACTTTTGGATGCAACCTGATTGTGCGAAAAGTACAGCACCAACCCGAGGATGGTAACGGAGGAAGTTTATCACACCCCAGACCTTGAGCACGGTGATAATGCGACTGACGGTCAGCACCAAATACATCAGCTGATTTGTGCTCGCTCAACAGGTTGCCTCTCACACTCAATTCGACCGGTATAAGATTAGATGGTTAAATAGTCCTAGTGACCAGCTCATTTGACTTCTAAGGTGTTTATACAGCTTGTACAGATCCCCTGGATTACCATACATCCAGCAGCCTTGTATCTACAAGCAAAGGATTAGTTGCAACTTCGTATTTTTCCAATTAGGAATATTTCAAACACGTATTCGACAACTGTAAAATGTTTGTTCCTCCTGTGATACAAGTTCGTCCACAGTGGTGAAGGTAGCTATGTCGGCGCACTGACCGAAGCTTCAGGGTCTGAGCTGAGGAACACATTCCTAAATGGTTACGCACACGGGCGCGCTCGTAGATGGCATAATCGAGTAAAACAGGAAGCTGAAACGTTTCACCAGTCACATGGTTTTTAATGAATAATGGTCAACAAATCAACCCCGAGGCGACAGCCATCTCTACGTACGAGCAAAAGTCGACAACCACAAGTCCCTTGAATCTAAAATGATCTGTCAGCAGAAGCTGTCGCTTCAATTATAAGAGCAGCTGCCGGTGTCTCTGTGCCCACCATGATAGTTGGAAGTGCGACAACTGGTCACTGGTTGGTCATCAATCGATTTCACATAATTCGCCTTGCTTGAATTATTGTCGAATACACTTTCGCGGTTGACACGAATTACATAGGTGGTCCAGCCATTTCAAAACGCGAAATTATGACGAAAAGTTATAAATAAATAAATAAATGGTACATTCCTCGACGATGCGAGAAGCTGTTCCCTAGAAGGAACAGATCAATTATGGTTACACCATCTCATGTCATTGCACTGAGAATTTTTCAAAAATAAACATGGGCGCAAATGTCATATTTAGGTAACGCAAAGTGATCAGAATCGTTCCGTCGTTTTTTCTCTGTCGTTGAGGCAGGTTCCTTCACACTCACATGACAATGTTCGGGCCGCGAAAAAATGGAAAAGAAATGCAGGGGCTGTGTTTCAAAATGTTATGTACTTGTGTCTTTAAATTTTATTCAGGCACCATCGATACGGTTCTCGAAAGCGTTATCAAGGCATTGTGATCACCCGAACATTTGATCAGGTTTTGGACAGTTAACTGCTTAATAATCGCAAGCTTAAAATTGCCAAGTGTAAAGCATGTTCTGGTATCACTTGGAAATTTGTTCCAAATGTTTGACAGTGGATTAGAAAGAAACGTTCTATGATTCTCGTAGGAAATTTTGGAATCCTGACCGTTAACTCTTTGTTACGGATTGGATATCTGCTGTTTAAAGATATATGAATGCCTTTATCAAGACTGTGAATCTGACTGTTTATGATTCTGTAAAGAAAACCTAGTTCAGCTTCATTCTCCAAAACCAAACTGGGTCAAATCCAAGTTTATCACATGGCTCTCGGTATGTCAACTTTGAGGAATATCCATATAGCTTTGTCGGAAAGTGTCTCTGGACCCTCTCAAGAGCGTATTTGTCAACTTTTCGCAGATTATCTTGGATGAATGAACCATATTTCATACAAAGCAATACACATGTTTTGTAAAGCCAAATGCGAGATTCGGTGAGATAAAAATAATGGCATATGGGTCCGGTGATCTTCATGGCCTTCGAAACTTGAAATTCACAATGTTCAGAAAAGTTAAAAGTAACTGCATGTCATACACCCAAGCCACAAACTGCCCTACATTGCAGGATATATGCGCCTTGTAGTAATAAACTGTCTGGCGGTACTTGGCATTTGTACGAAAATTTATTGCTTGTCCACGGCAAATGACATCTGCCACAGTTGGCAGGTCATCTTGAATGAGAAGTACGGTTTCTTGGGTATTTGCACGTTCGTGTGAGTAGACAACTTTAATGCCATCAGCAATGATAAGTGTAGCACCATTTCTTATTCTCTGGAATATATCCTTAACATATAATAGAAAAAGAAGCGGACTGAGAACATTTCATCGAATCACTTCACTGATGAGTGCTTTCGGTTTAGAGAAATGGTTGCCGATGCGCACCGCCTGCTGTCTACCAATTAGATCTGAAGACCGCCAAGAAAAAATAATCGGCTTTCCAATGCTAATGGCCTTTAGTTTGTTTAATAACTTTCCATGAGGCACCAGCAAAGGCTTGTTGCAAATCTGGGAACAGGATTACAACACTGTTTCCGTTGTCTATAGCAGCCATTGTGTGGTTTAGAAGTCTATCTGGCAAGTTGCGCAGGATGGACCTTGTATGAAGTCATGCTGCGAAATGCTAATGATGTTAGCCCTGTTCCGGAATACAAATAGCTCATATTTCACTATCTTTTCCATTATTTTAGATACAATGAGTGAGTGACTGATGGGACGAAATTTTTAGTCTCGTGGGCTGCGCCATTTTTGTGTCGCGGGAAAACGACGGAAGTTTTCCATTGAGTAGGGTGTACTCCATTGTTAAAACAGTGTCTAAAGATATTGTGCAACAGCAAACGGCAGTCATTACCACTGCTTTTTATTAAACAAGGGGGATCCCATCAGGCCCTGAGCAAGATGAGGCGTATAAGCGAGATACTTGACCAGCGATTTTCGCTATGGTGTATTTCACAGTGCATAGACTTCCACCGTTTTGTGGCATCACAATTGCTGGGATGTTTGAGGATTCACTGACCATTGCTTCGGCAAAATAAGCACTGAAAAGTGAACA